AAAGAAACGATCGATCGTTCTCGTGATCGTTACCCTCCTGTTTTTTGCGGCGCGATATCGCTCTTTCGGGAAAACCTCGAATCGGTAAAACACTTTTCGCGTGCCATCCGAATGCAGTTTAAATTCGTGCGCGGCGGCCTGTCTACAATATAAATATCGAAAATGGTAGAACGTCCAAGAGAATCGTGATGAACGGCTCGAAAATTCTCCGATTCTCTTTCTTTCTCTTTTTGCGAGGCCTCCTACGCTCTACTAAAGCTCGAAGCTACACGATCGACCGTGAGCAGAAAAGTTCGTGTGAGCGTCTAGTGCAGCGGCCGACACACACACACACACACACACACATATATATACACAAGCAAGTGATTACGAAAATTCGATGCCCAAGGGAATGGCTAAGTTAAAGGTACCGGGAGTACCATAAATCCGTTTAAATTGCAACAACGATCCTCGCACGATCCGGAGATCGTGAGCAATTATCCGTCAGTTCGCCTCCTCTCTCGTGGTTCGCCGATTCTTCGCATAACTCGCCGTGCATCTTGGCATCTTTCCACAAGCCATACAAAATCGAGCAGAAAAATATTAAAGGCATTAAGCATCGAGAAAAGAATCTCGAGCGCTGATCTCGAAAAATTTTCGACACCTAATATTGTGATTAATAAAATGCAATATTTATTATAAAATTATTATAAAAGCTTATGAGAGATTATGATTATTATTATAAAAATTTTTGTTTTTACGCCAAGCGCATTATTACACGAAATTAAAGTCGACCATAATTGCATCGCGTAAACACGTGCGTGCTTTGATAACGGTATTATCTGCTGATAAATACTGCAACGAAATAGAAATAAAAGGCTTGTAAAGAGAGGGAAGCGAGATTACATTTATCGCCTTTGTCGACGGCCTTCGCCCAATCTATCCCCCCGTACTTTTACGATCGCGGAAGCACTACTTATTCGGCTACGGTGCTATGAGTGCACGCTCGAAGAGCCAACGCGCATGTGAAAGAACAATAAAATAAATGCCGTAACGCAGCAATAAGATGGGCACGTAATCGAACGGAAGCACGTAACGGCTTGACATTTGTTTCGCCGTCGTCGCGCGAGAAATGGAAGCGCGCGATAAAATTTGCATAGCTCGATAACGTCCTCGAGACTCTCGATTCGACTTAAGGACTCTTTCCGGCCGCAAATCGTAATTGATCGGGTCGATCGACGGCGGTTAAAGATTTTCAACAACTTTCTCCATGCATATCATAATTAATTGTGTGCGTAAGCCGAATATATATAGAGCATCTGAATAAGTGCGTGACTCTTACATGTGCAAATATATTTATATAATATCTTAATATTTCAAGATTGCATGAAAGTCTATATGATGTGAGTCAAACTTACCACCGGAAACGGTGCTGTAGGAAACGGACGAAAATTCGAAAGGTCTGGAATTCTTACCTGCAAAGAGAAAGATGAGAAGTTACCGCAATATAATAACATCTTGTTAAACGTGCTTAACACACTTTAGTATAAAAATATATTTCAAGATCGATTTGATCCGTTTCTTAAATTGTTTTAAAGTCGCGAATTATATCCAATAATTATCCCAATAATTGCACAAAAGATGCGGCTCTTTGAAAGAACTAAGTGGATAAAGCAATGATAAAAATAAAAAAAAAAAAGATAATTAAAGGGATCAAGCAGCGCGCGTCGGTTTAAGCTCTGACCATCACGGTCCGTTGCAAGTCGGCAGGAAATGCAACCCGATTCTTTTCGTTCTTCCTTCTCTACTTTTATTCCCCTTCCGGCCGGTTCCGTGACCGCGAATTGTTCGTAAGAAACTTACCGAGAGCCGCGATAATCACGAGTCTAACTCTTCACGAAAAAATCGTAAAACACTCTCAGACCTCGCATTTACAATAAATTTACAGACATTATTAGGCGCGTTTTACAATCTCATTTTCGCAAACATGTACGTGCGGCGACGAGGGACTTGCGATTTTAGAGACGCAATTAACATATCATATGAAAGAAACTGCAGAAGAATGGTATCGTTTACGACATGAAAGAAACTGCAGAAGAATAGGTCGCAGGTCAGTTAATTGAAAACGAGGAAAGGTAACGAAGAAAAGAACGAAGGCAAGCAGGAAGGAAGGAAGGAAGGAAGGAAGGAATGAAGGCAAGAGCGAGCAAAAGAAGAACGAGGAGGAGGCGGTTTCTCCAGCCACCAGCTGCAACCTGTTGAATTCGGAGATACGGAGAGACAGGGAATCACAGGCACCGTCCATTCGGCAACTTTGGATTACTATGAAATTGTTTTATTACTCCGCACGCGCCGTTTCCGTACGGTACCTGCTGCTTGCTGGCGACATCTCGTCCGAGATGTAATTACCAGAGATTCGTGGACCAAAAAACATTATTAAATTGCGTGAAAATTGCTAGCAAACTAGCGTTATGATATAATTTGCAACAAACGTTTCCAGGATACACTTGTTAGTCGTAGAATAAATAAAAGTGGGGAATAAATATATAAAAATTTTGAAATAAATTCCATTCAGTATTTTATCTGTATTCAGTAGTTTATTGATATATACGAAAAACAAGAAATGAATACTTTTGAATATAGCATTTATTCAAAACTTAAATGCAGAAACTTTTATATACAATTCAAACAAATTTTTGCAAATGTGTTTAAAAGTGACCCAGATCTTCGTATATACACGACGTGAGTTTTTATAATGAATGCACATACATCACGATTCATAGGATTTATCGCAACGTGTCAGTTTCAGTTCACTGAAACTCCAAAAATGATGTATTCCTGTCACATAAATCAATCGTTTGATCGCACCGATAATTCAGCATAGCGATTTTTATTCCATATTTACAAAAGCATCACATATTTTTCGAATCGCGTAATTTTCTATCTCACACTCGTAGAAAAAGCATGGAGTAAATCCCTGGCATCACAGAATCGCTCACCGCGAGAATGTCTGAATGCCAAACGTGGCCAAGCAAGGACAAGGGCAGCCAGTTTCTTTTACTACGTTCCTTCCCCGTATACTTCTTACATTGAAGAGACGAATAGCCGGTTAGTCGTTCTGTGTGTCCCGAGGACGCATTCTTCTCTCACCGAGACGGAGAAAACTACAAGTCTCGATTAAATGCGCTACCTCGAGCTATCTCATATTGCCAAGATCTCTCCATCCAGAGCATTAATTGGATCGCGCGTGCTGCTAAAATAATATCCTTCATCTTTCATTTTACATCACGCGCGATATATTCTTAGCTAAAAAAGATCTCTAATTAATCTTTAATTAAGAAAGACTTATTTTATTATTTCTAATAACATATTTTATACACTCGAGAAATCGCTCGAATAAATACGCTCATCTACTGAATCAAATCTTCGTGTCGACCAATTAATCTGAAAGCTTTTCGCAAGAAACTGCATCCGTCGATCGAGAAGATAGAAAGAATCTCTACAAGAGTCTACGAGATTATCAGGTTGAATGCGTGACAAAGATAGAAGACCCTCAAAGCGACAGAGAAGGCGAAAGAAAGAAGGGAAGAGTGCAACGACCAACTTGCACGTGGTCGCGCAGCGCATAAAGCGGGAACGTCACGTTGCGGCGAGCCACTCTTGTGCATTCCGCGGCTGCAAGGCTGAGGTCAAGGTACACCTAAGTGTCCATCGTCTGAAGTTCCGAATTCTATGAAAGCGCGGAAACTTTGGCATGTGAGCATGCATTCTTCGATTAAAACGCGCGAATCTATTTGCGATAAAATTGAAACTCTCGAAGAATTGGAAGCAAATCCGGAGAAAAACGAAATAATTTTAAATCTTATAAGAAAAGAAAATTTATAATTGAAAATTTTTAGTGAGAGATTTAAATATGATATTTATCTCCGCGACCACCGTGGAGAATTTTTTAATCGTGGCATATTTATTCGACGATTAAAACTTTAATTGGTATTCCGAGAACGTTCATTTAAAACCGCGACCAAAGTGATAAGGCGTATCTGAACAACAAGATTGACATAACGTGCGTTATGCACGATATAGTCCGTGCCAACGTCATCATCGGTCGACG